TTCATACTATATGTACAGCTTACAATTGTTTAATAAAGCATACATAACTAGCCTGACAGAGGGTTTAAAAAAAAAAAATTTAATAAAGTTATTTTTTTTTATATTCTTAAACTTTTCTTATAATTCATAATTTATTATTATTTAAAAAAATATTTATAGTGATTTTATATTAAAAAGATAAAAAAAAATTAAAGATAGAAAAAAAGATATTATAATATAGTAATATTGAAAATAGTTGAGAAAAAGATATTATAATTTAGACTAAAGAAGCTCTTAAAGAATAACAAGTTTATGATACTAAAATAATAGTAATAATATAATATTTAAAGTTACTTTATATTAAAATTAATTTTTATTTTTTTTTAGTATTTCTTTTATTATATATAAATATATTTTTTTATTTAATTTTATATAGTTTTTATTCTTATACAGTATATAGTTTTATTTGAAAAATGAAACTTTTTTAGTATAAATATAAAATTTTCAAATGATTAAAAATTTAATTTAATATATATAGATTTAAATATAATTATTATAGATTCATATTTTTTTTTTGGTATTAATATTGATTTTTTTTATATTTAAAAAAAATGGCAATAAGTTACAAAATAAATATTTTCTTATAGAGTTTTATTTGATACACAAAAGTAATTATTTGTATAATACATATATAATTTCTATACAATTTAAATAAAGTAAAACTGAGCTAATATTTAAAAAAAAATAATATTTTTTTATATTATCTCTGATTAAACAATATTATTTTATAGTAGTATTGAACTTAAAAACTATATCTAATAACTTGAAAGTATTATTAAAATATTTTTAATTTATAAATCTTAAATAAAATATTTATTAATAAAAAAAATATTAAGTATTATATTTTAAAAATTGAATATACTACAGTAAGTAGCACTTAAAATTATTTAGAAAATTTGCAATATATTTAACTAAATAAAAACTTGTTTAAATTAAATAAGAATTTAAATATAAATTTTTAAATTCTATAAATTATTTATTTAAAATTAAAATATTATGTTAAATTTTTTGAATTAATATTTATTATATAATAATAATTTTTAAAAAAAAAATTTTTTTTTTGTAAAATAATAATAATAAAAAAAAAACAATGTATATACAGTATATACAGTATACCTATTAAAAAAAAAAAAAATCAAAGATAATTTATTTAGAAGAATTTAAGGATATTATTTATAGATAAGAATATGATTTTTGTTTAACGATAGAATTAATATTTTGAACATAATAATTAATGTTTAATAAAAATCACAAGATATTATGATTGATTTCTTTCTTTTTGAGTTCTAGAAATGGTTCTTGCATACATAAATATTTTAAAATACAAAAAATCAGCATTTTATTATTCAAAATGAACCAAATAAGATATTTAATGAAGAATAAATTTTACAGTTTGATCATAAATTTAAATTGATTTTAAAATATTTAACAAAAAACACGGTTTTTATGAAATATAAAAAAATTCTGACGAGCATAATAGATTTTTATGTTTTCATGTTTCATCGCTTAAATTTTCTTCTGATTTTCTTCCGATCATACGTTCTATATTTACTGTGCAGTCTTCAATTCCTCTTAAATCTTGAGCTTTTTCGGCAAATCCCATTGCTTGATTGAGTAAAGAAATGGCGGTTTCTGTTTTTCCATCTTTCTCGTAAATTAGTCCTAAATTATAAAGAATCGCACCTGCGCATTCATCACAATCTCTAATGCCACTTCCATCTCTAGCAACATTTAAACCTCGTTGCATCCAACCTAAAGCTTCCTCTCTCTTCCCGAGACCGTAAAACACCTCACCTATATGCCCCATTATAATAGCCTCCAAACAATTCCAAGAAATTTCTTGACCACCGTGTTCACTAATATCTTTTACTTTGGTTTCTACTTTCGATTGCATAACAGAATCTTTTGGCCTTGATCGTATCATTTTCAGTACTCCCAAGTATAATGGTAATGCTAGATCGTATTTCTTTTGTCTCGCATACAATCCAGCGAGGGAATCGATGCAACTCACCGATTCTTTTTTGATAGATCCAGAATGCTCAAAGATTTTGTTATTAATTATTAAGGACCCGGATGGGTGTTCTTCGACAAAATTGGTGTGCTCCTTAATCAATTGAGCACAATCCCCTTGTGACATCTTGATTGCCCAACAAAAGTATTTTTCCGCGATATCGAATTCCTGAACCTTGACGTATAAATCGCCTATCTTCTTGGCGACATCGATTGACCTTTTCAAATTTTCCTCTTTTCCTGACTTCACTAATGTCTCCAATACTGACCGATAAATAGTAATAGACTCGTCCAATTTTCCCACCCAAACATGATTGTAAGCTAGACGTAACCAAATATCTATGACAACAGGATCATCAGCACCTAAACCTTGTTCGAATGCGAATTCCATTGCTCTCATTAAAAAAATTTCCGCACGTGAAGAGTCCGGGACCATTTCTTCACGAAAATAAGCACCTCGGAGACAATCACGTGTTTTTGTAGACAATACCTTCGGTGTGGGATGTAAATAGTATTCAATGTAAAAATGGAACCCGCGGTAGGCGACATAAAAGGAAGAAACAATAATAAGCAAACCAACGAGAAAATATTTTAAAAAAGCGTAAATCGAGCGTTTCGCGTTGCCTAGGGTTATCCAAAAGGCGGTGTCTTTGCGTAAAATTGGAGAATAAAAACGGATTTGCCGATGGAATTGGAGAAATGAACTTTGATGGCGTATGTAAGAAATTATAGAATTATTTTTTTTTTCATGTAATGGTAAAATTCGAAAATTAATTAAAATTGCACGAGAACCGACAATTTGCCGTCTGAAAGTATTGTGATATGGTACATGATGAAGTGAATCGTTGGATGTTTTTGCAACAATCGTTCTGGTTTGAATTAAAAATCTAGAGTAAAAATTTTTTAAATACAACTTTTGTATTAACATCTTTTTGCAAAGATAAACTGATCTGCGTGTTTTTTTATATCAATAACACGGAAGTGATCGACCAAATTGCTGTTTTCGGGCATCGACCGTATTAGAGAAATTAACTATACTGTATATCAAATATTCTTAAAATCATAGTTTATTTTATGCTTGCGAGTGATCGAATCTTACAAGAATTATAAAGGCTTAAGGTTTCCTTGCACAATGTCTAATTCATGAGTTTAGGAAACCAAAAATATATAAATGACGTTTACCACAAACTTATACGAAGCACACGTCTCTTTTTATAAAATAATACAGCTAATACATTGGAATAATTTGTATTTACAAAAAAAAAAAAAGACCTAAAGGGATCGAAACGATCAGTACACATACAATATATTTTAGCTTACACGATAGTGGATAATTTGATGATTACCTACTTGTGATCTGCACTCAAGACCACTAACCAACAAAATGGCAGAAGCATATCATTCGTTATGTTTAATAGGTGAAGCCCCAGTCAATATTGAAATTAACTTATTTAACCGCACACATCCCCAATTTATTTGCTGCTGTGTACTGATATTTATTTAAAACTTTTTTGACTACGCTATCCATGTGTTAGTTGATAGTTTCCTGAAAACGAAACTTAATCAACTCCTGTGATTACGGATTTTCGGAATTTTAACGATTTTTTGAATTTTTGGCCTTTCTCTATGATCGACCTGCAACATGGCCTTTAATAAAGATGACATGTCGCACGATATACGCTCGAATTCGAGTCCCGATAAATCGCCTAATCTAATTCTATCCGCGGTTTTTTTGCTTAGCGAAATGATCCCGGTCATTTCTAGCACAATTGCACCGAGACTGTAAATATCCGCAGATTTGTCGTAACGACAATTAAGAGCTTCTAAGGAAATGTATCGGCAGTCGCCTTGTCTATCGAGATCAGGTTTTGCTGGCCAGCTCGCCGAAAGGCCAAAATCACCGATCTTAAAAGTTCCGTCCAGAGCTTGGAAAATATTTCCGGGTTTTAAATCTAAATGCATAATGTTGCATTCATGAATGTGCTCAAGACCGAATGCAATGTCCGCAAAGATCCGCCAGATTTGAGATTCTTCCAATTTAGCATTATGATTTAAAAAGTACTCGAGCGATCCATTTTCGCATAGTTCTGTTTGTAGATGAAGGTGACCGCGCTGCTCCCAGGCGGAAAATAATTGAATACAGTTTGGGTGCTTTCCTAGCTTCCACATGATTTCGACTTCTTCCAAGCATTCAGATCTGACCACATTGGACTTAAAAGGGTTTTTGGCCTTTTTGACTGCGTATAATATTCCAGATTTCCGATCCGTAACCTTGTATGCAATTGAGAATTCACCAATCCCTAGAATACTTTCAACGGTAAAGTGATCTGTGAAGTAATCTTTGTTGCACAAATTATAAGATTCTGGCGGACGGAAGGTTCGACTATTTCGACCTAGTTTTTCGAAGTACGTTCTATCAAGCATATGCGCATACTTCGTAGTATACTCATTAACCATTGCTGGTGAGGGTTGCATTATTTTTGCCATCTTCCTTAACATTAAGGGAGTATGATTCATTCGCCGTCTTGAAATCCACGCAGAGTCGCATATTTCCGGTGAACTCGTGTTCTTGTCTCGAGTCCTATTTGGTGTAGTTTCAACACGCGTCACTGGGGTATTGGGTGTAGGACTTCTTAGGAGATTTTCTTTGTGTGCCGTTGATCTGTTTGTGAGTGGAGACTCGACTAGAGAACCTTTAAGCGTCGATTGCACGTCATCATAGCTTGATGAGAGGAAAATATTTGTAGGATCGGAATTGAAGGAATCAAATTGTCGACGTGCATCTTGAGTTAGACTAGGTACTTCCTCATTTAAAATGTAAAAGACACTTGGAGAATTCCGATTTACGCTTGGTGATTCAAGTGAATCTTCGAAGAAGTCTGGTGACGGTTGTACGCCACCTCTTTTCCATGAATCAGGTATTGGTGTAACTCGGCTATTCGATTTGATGGGAGTAAAACATCTGAGAGACGATGGTTTTCCACTTCGTAGACTAGTACGACGCGCGCATGGTGAGTCGATTAATGTATCATCCGGAAGTATAAGTTCAAACCCTTCTTCATCATCGAGAGTCGGCTCGGAATCTATTCGAAGTCGCTTAATAAACAACGGAGACTCTGGCGCAGTTATCTTCGGTGTTAAGATGAAATTTGCTTGCGTTAACTCCCGCAAAGGAGTTTCTAACTCTTCGTACGCCATTCGTTTATTATTTATCATGATGCTCTGACCTTTTATTGGTGTTCTTAGTTCCTGTTTTTCCATTCTTGCAAATCGATATAATATACGGGCGAAAAATAAAAAGTGTGTATGCAAAGAAATAAGTGAGGGTCGAATGACGCGTGAACACTCAAAGTTAGGGATCGCGCGTCATTTATTTATATTAAGCACGTACCTACGATGATGATCATGTGGCATAATTACTTAGCAATTTGATTGATCGGTTTATTCGCTAATAGCAAATGACTTATGTTCATTAGTGAAATTATTGACGTAATTATTTGGAAATCAATTTATTTATAACTATATTAATTGGTTATATTGTTAGAAAGAAAAAAAATTATTTAATATACTGCCACTTGTGTAACATTAAATTAAAACATAATTTTTTAATCTACTATCAAGTTAATTTTTTTTTTTTACCTATCGTCAGACTGACACGGCTTATTTTTATTGTGTATTTAAAAAAAATTTTATATAATTTCAAAGACTTTTATAAACTTGAATTATCCATCTACTATCAAGTTAATATAATATATTTTTATTATACTGTATATATATTAGATATTTATAAAATTGGTATAACTTTCATATATTAACTCTTTTATTATAGAAAATTTTATTTTTTTGATACAATTTAGAAAATAATATTTTGTTTTTTTTATTAATTTAAGTTAATTTTGAATTAATAAAATTATTATTTACAGATTATTATTATAAATTATTTTAAATTCTATTTGTAATTTAAAAATCAAATTATTTAATGTCATAACAATTTATTTCTTAATAATTATTATATAATTTTTTTTCTTTTTTTTTATTTTCTTTGATTCATATTTTTTTATTAAAGATAATATTGATTTTTTATAGTTTTGTATAGTTTGTATTTTTAATTTGTTTTTATATCTTTTAATTATTTTTTTTTTTTTTAAAATACTTAATAATAAATTTTTAAAATATTTAGTATATAAAATTTTATAGATTACTTATGTTCTTTTTTGAGAAACAAAATTTATAAATTAAAGATTTTAACAATAAAGAAATTTCCAAATAGTTTTTTTATAATTATTAATCTAAAAATTTTAATATTTTCTAATAAGAGATATTTGATTTTTGTTTTTATTTTTCTTTTTAGGAACTTATTTTTAATAATATCTAAATTTTGTTTCTAGTTTATTACTTTAATATAATAACTATTTTAAATTTTTTTTTAAAAATTCTTTTATATTTTCTAATAAAGCTTATTAACTATAAATTATATCTATAGATATTAAAAAAATTTTAAATTGTTTTTTGAAATAATTTTTTAAGAATATGATTTTATTTTCTTTTATATATCCCTATATAGTATTGAAAAGATTTTATCAAATTGTTAAAAAATTTTTAACTAGTTTTTTATTAAATTATTAATCTTTAATAAGATTTTTTTTATTTTTTTTTTATCAATATAGAAATCCATTAATTCATTTATTTTTTTTCATATATCTTTTTTATTTTCCTTTACAATCAGATACTCAAACAAATAATCTAATATTTTTCTTGTTCTTATTAATTTTAAAGAATATATAAAAATATTAATAGATTGAATTGATTTCAAAAAATTAATATCCGTATTTTTATTTTTCTAAATTCAATAATTTTAAATTCTTTTTTATAATATCTAATCTAAATCAATTTTTTTTTTATTTGTTATTTTAATAAAGTCAAATCTTAATATTAATATATATTATATATTTCTTCTATATAACTATTATCAGGACTTTTTTTAATTTTAATAATTAATATTATATTATTGAATTTTTTTAATTTTATTTTTTTTTAACTCTTTATCAAACTAAATATATATGCTTTATTTAATAATAGGTTTCTAAAATATTTAATATATAAAATTTTGCAAAATACTTATGTTTCTTTTTAAGAAACAAAATTTATAACTCTTTACTTCTATAGGAACAAAAGTCAAGAAATGGTATAAATCAATAATTTGGATAATAAAGAACAATTATAAGTAGTTTTTTTATAGTTATTAATTTAAAAATTTTAATATTTTCTAGTGAGAAACATTTGATTTTTGTCTTTGTTTTCCCCTTTAGAAACCTATCTTTAGTTTCTTCTATAAGCTTAGCTATATATTTGTTTAATTCTTCTAATTTTATTCTGTCTTCAACTAAAAGCCTTATTTCTTTCCTTTTTATCTTTTTTTTTTTCTTATACAAAAGTTTTTGAAAATCTTTAAAATACCTTCAGTTCCTTTATTCTATATTTTTTGCTATTGAACTTTATATACTAAATATTCTAATAGATGTTCTATTGTTTCTACTTGCTGTTTGTATGCTATACACTCTATTTGTTTATATAAATCAGATCTTCTTATGATTAGTTTAGGAAGTGTTGATAACTCTTTATTAATTAATTTGATAAGAAATCTTTTTTCTTAGAAATCCTTAAAGAGGTGCCTCAAATGTATTCATTCTTCATCCTTTCTCATATCAAATCACATGTATAATTATGTTGATCATAAATTTATTGGTTCCATTTATTCAAAATCTTATTTTGTTTTGTCTATTGTTGAACTGTAACTTTGCTATTTATATTTTTAATAAACTATATTATAGGATTATCTAAAATCATTTTATATCATTTGATTTTGTTAATAATTTTGGATGAAATAAAATTTTTTCATTCAATTACAAGAAGTATTAAGGCTTCCTTTGCTAGAGTATCTGTTTCTTTATTATATAGATTATTAAATTATGCTTTGATCTTAACCAGTTTCAGATTTAGTTCTTTTTTTTTAATAATATCCAACATTTTTGTCTATAAGAACCAATTTTTTTCCTTTAACTATCTTTTATGAATTCTTTTGAGATTATCTTTTTCTATTATTTTTTACTTAACAATATAAGCTTGGCTATCTGTAAAGATCTTAACCTTATTGTTTGTTGGAACAACTAGTAATATTGTAACTATTGCTATTAGTTCTGCTCTAGTGAATGATGAAAAGTTACCTACTTGCATTTGGAACTTATTTTCTTTACCCTCTCTTCTTACTTGCACCTATACTACTCCTATCTTCATTTTTTTATATTCATAATTAACAAGAGATCCATTAGAGTAAAAGATCAATGTTTTTTTTAAATTGTTAATTATATTGAAGTATTTTAATTAGGTAGTCTTAATATACTTCTTCTTTTATATTTTTTCTAATAATCTGTTCTTCCCAATTTTTGATATCTACTTGACTTATTCTACTGTTTATATTGGATTTGTAATTATCTTGGATTGTTTTTTCTATTGTTTTTTCCAAAACTATTTTGAGACTTGGAATATTTAACTACTAGACTCTTCTTATGAATTTCATTGTGTTTAGATGGAAAACTTTATATATTCTATTTCTTTTTATCTCTTTATATATTGACTTTTTACATTTTTATCTTATACATATCTTAAATATTTTGTCAAGCTGATCTTCTGATTATTTGGAAACTTAATACACTTGAAGCATTCTATTTATATTATTTACTTAGTATCTTCTGATCTTAGCTTTCCCCATATTATTTTCTGATGCCTATCACTTGTTACTACTCAGAGTGCTTGTCTTTTATTATGATATAGATTTATTTTTGTAATTGTTGATTTTTATTTTGACCAGTCTTCTTTCCAGGATTTTGTGAGCTGTCCTGGTTCTCTTTCTTATATATTCCTTTTATTACTGAATATCATTCTAGAATAGGCTTTTATTGATCTTCTGAATTAGTTGAATTATTTAATATCTTTTTAATTCTTTAGTTTCATAGGTAATCAACTGATCCATGTACATTAACTTATTGTTTCTAAGTAATGGTATAACTTTTGTATATTTATCTAATATTAGATACTCTTTAATTGAACAGTTATATTTGTCCTATTTGAAAATATTTTGCTATTTCTAGCTTTGAAACCTTATTCCTATATATTTGGCTAATTTCATTGCTTGAAATATAAAGTTACCTCTACCTGGCATATAATCTAATAACTTACAGATAAATAGATTGGATAGTTCTCAATATTTAACTTGTGCTTGTTTAATTTTGATAACTGTTGTAAGTCTTGCTGGTCCTAAATAATTTAGTTTGTTATATAATCCTATTATTTGACTTTCCTTTTGTAGTATTTAAATATTCTTTAAGTTATAGACATTTGGATAGTGTACTATGCTGTTAGGTATAGATCTGCACAAGTTACTTTTATTTTAAGGAGCTTTCTATATACTGTGATTAAAGTATTATACATTTTTCAGGATAGTATATTACAGTATATTGCACATGGAACTCTATTCTTAGTATCAGAACCTTGTTTAAAATATAGGGTATTTGTTTATTGATCAATCTTTTATTCTTAAGGACTCATGTAATTGTATTGATCTTTCTGAGTATTTATTCTTTTAGCTTAATCACTATCTTTTGATTACTAGTTCAGATCCTAGGATCTTGTATATTTAGTTCTAATTAGCTTTCTATTGTAACTGTTTTGCTATTGATTTCTACTTTAATTTCTTCTAGATAGTAATTAGAATTATTAATAATAACTAGTACTGATTTGTTACTATTAATTTGGAAGCTATTGACTCTATAAAAGATTCTTGCTTCTTTCAAAATCTTTTCTATATCTTCTTTAGATCTTGCAACCTATATAGTGTTATTTATGAAGGTGATAGCTACATATCTAGATTTCAATTTTTTGTTAACTTCTTTTTCTTTTAAATTTGAATCTCAAGTAACTAATATTTTATAATCCTTTATTTCATCATTTTGAATTTTATACAACAAATGATTATAAAAAATTCTTCACATTAAAAATGAAATAGTTTTTTTGGTCAATCTTATCTCCAATTATTACTGGTCTTGTAAACCTATTTTCAATTATAATTCTAAATTTCCTATTTTGAAACAGGCCTATTATAATCTTAATGAACTCTTCTAAAAGTTTGATCCTTTTTAAAATTCTTGTTAATATGTTCAAGCTTATTATATTATAAGCCTTGACTATGTCTTGAAGGAATATTC